TGATAAGCAGATACAGCCGCGATTTCGCATTTATAGCGCAAATCTGGAAAAGTACATACTAAACAAGAAGCTAGAAAAGCGAAATAGTAACTTTTTTACTTAATCGTGTTTACTGATGCGAGTTGCTTAACAAGTTTGTTTTATGGGTTGAATAAATATACATCTCTAAAAAATGTGTGCAGACATTATTTGTCAGTTGCTTATTCGTAAAATTTACAACTGTCTGTTCATTTTAGAGCTCATCAACACGATTTTAGATTTTTTTTAACTTTAAATCTTAATTGGAAGGAATTTCAATTAACGATTAAATTCTCATTCATAATTGGAGGAAATTCTAATTAACAATTAAAAGTTAATTATTTACTGGTGTTCAGTTATATTACAGATTTGCAACCTTGCTCATCGGCTTCTATTTTTATTTACAGTTTTTATTTCATCCAAAAGTTGAATTTAGATCTGAAACTGTAATACATCTTGCAGTGTCCTATCCAATATCAAACGTCATCTTTTCTGCTGGACTGAAATTTGATTATCAATAGACGTAACATAATTTCGCTTTCGGTAGTAAATCTGTCCTGCTTCCAACGAGCAGGCGAAAGCAGCTTTGCAGACGCGCGTGTCATGTAGAACGATTGTGCGTACACGTAGAAAGTACAAGGTAGAAGAAAGTGTCATTGTAGTTGGTTAAAATGGCTCCAAGTTTCAATGTACATTGTGCGTTTAAACCGTTTATTTAACAGTACACGCTCGTGTTCGTCATCACGGAGTCAGCCACGTTGGTGAAAGTCATTTGGTTGCCGGTGGGCTGATTATTATGCTACCCGGGCAATCGTCATTCAATTATTACACCCGGTGTGGCCCTCGTCTTCGCGCAGCGCAATTACGTCCGCGGATGCGTAAAACGCGTATACCCGCTTACTGCGTCGCTCGAAATTCAATGCATATGCAAATTATATACACCGGACTGCGACACCTTCCGAATTCGATTCGCGTCCGAGTGTATTGTTAAGTTTTTAATGTTTACCGGACTTTGGAAATGTTCCTCAGTTTAGACTTTAGTCTCGTGTATATCCATTAAGAAAAATGGAAAATGTTATATAAAGATAGCGAGCGATAATGTTAATGGTATTTTGAAATTTTTAAAAGGAATAATATTTCCGTATAGAGAGATGAATAAAAAATATTATCCTCAAGAAGTAAATGAAATTGTTAGAAAAATGATATGCCTTTTGCGGTTTAAACACGATTGAGGAACGAAAATAATTTCTTACAAATGAGTCGTTCAGTGCACACATCGATTAACTTCACTTTTTGAAAAATCTTAAATTTATGTGTCAAAGCATTTGGTATAGTCATAACTTGTGCTTTGACACATAAATTTAAGATTTTACAAAAAGTGGAGTTAATCGATGTGTGCACTGAACGGCTCAAATATAACACAAGAATTGTTGATTCATGTTCGCGTCACGTTTAATTATAGGAGATGTTACTGAACAATTCTTAATTTCAATTTGCATGAAACCGGACGGACAACAACGTGTCTTGTTATTTTTATTTGCGATCGATACCAGTATTGATAACGATGAATCATTTTTTAAAAAATAATGGACGATGTCTGGTGGTGAATGAAAAGATTCGCGGAAGCTCGACGAGGAAGGCGGCTCTCGGAGCGTGGCAACGAGAAACGCAATAAAGTATTAAAAAGTATGTAAGTACGCAGTATGTATGTAGGTAGGTAGATAGGTACTGCGTGGCCAGAGAGTAATGCGATAGGCGTTGTTGACTCGTGATTATAAACGCGTTGCGCCGCACTGCAATGAGCTTTACGATCGCCCCGTGGAATATAAAATAATCCGCAGTTTCGAGGAAGTTGCGCGGAGGAGGAGACGTCCTTGATTCGTTTCGGCGAAATTTTTTTCCCCCGCAAATGAAATATTTAAACGTTGTATCTTTTGATTTATCGCTCGAGCGTATCACGATTTGTCCGTGCAAACACTTCAGACAGAAACGAAGAAAAAGAGAACGAAGGATGCGTTCGTTGGTGCACAACAATTCTGCATTAGCGGTTTAGCTTGCTGAAGGACAGAACGTTCGCCAGCGAGAATCAGATATTATTTTTAATTCGGCGGCTGAAGGAAACTGAAAATCTTTATATCATTTTTAATCCGGAATCTTAATTGGACGGCGTTTTAACTTTTATAGGATTTAACTTTTATAGCACTCTAATCGAATTCACATTTGCAAATGGAATCGGCTTTTTATCTCTTCGATATACCATTGCGTGTACGTGTAGCCATAGTGGAACCGGTCGTAACCTGTATGCATATGATTCATTTCTTCTAATTAAAACGAGCAACGAACGTGCTCCAACTCCGGTAACTACGGAGCTCGTATCGTTCGTAAAAAGATGGAAGTATTCGAGCCGCGGGCACAAAGCGAACGATCCGCTAATGATGTGGAGTTTTCAGTCTTTCGGCTCACTCGTCGATCTCGTATCACTCCTTTCATAAATCAGTATCGGACCAGACATACGCAGATCGGCTGGTTTTGTTGGTCGATAGGTCTGCTTTTATAAGCACTGGCTGAATTACAAAATTCTTTCGAATAAGTAATACGCATTCGAATTGAAAACCATTCCATATTCGTTGATTGCACGTCAATCCTAGCGGAGCATAGTAACACATCACGTCTAATTCTAGATTTCATCTGTCTTCTGTTTTATTATTGCGGTGTAGTGTTGCCTTCTTCAATTTTACGATGTGGGTAAAAATTATGTGTAAAGAATTCTTGCTAAGGTAGGTTGAAGTCGGCTGACTCGCCAAAACGTATTCTGGTCACTTTGTCCGCAGGAAAGCGTGCGTTTCAATATCGTAACGAAGATAACGCGTAACTTACTGTGTACTGGCTTAGTCCACGCCTCGTCGTAACCCATGCTTTCTAGGTATGTGGTTGCGAAACTCTCAGTTGGTCATTATGTCAGTTTCATAATGCACGATCGCTCGGAGGCGTAGTTATCTATAGTTTTTGATTCCACTCGCGTCGCGTCGCATATTCCATCTGAAATCTGCCCCAAGAAACGGAATTCCAATCAGAGGCTATTTAACGAGTAAAAATCGCCAGAGCAACGGCTCTGCGTCGAGTGTTCCTAATCGTTTAGAAAGTGTTTTAACGGAGTCGTATATTTTATTCGATTTCCTGAAACGATTGCGAGTCGCGCGCACATTTTGTACGCATAACTATCCTGATAAGTCATTCACGTGTTTCTACGACTCGCTTCTTGGCAGGCTTAACCCCTAGCTGGCAATGTGATGTATCAAACGCCCCAGTCTAGTGCAGCTCCAATTTAAGCCACCCTTCATGTACATATGTGTAATAAATAATAACAAGTATATATATTTAGAAGAGATAAGTAGCACTCTTTTGGCTGAAATTCGTTCTTTCAACTCTGTAATTAATTTTCAATTCTCAATATGAGATGAAAGAAACAAAAATTTTTTTTAATAAAAATTAAGTTCTCCAATTTTTTTCGTACTCAGTATTACATTTTACCGAGACACTCTATATGAAATCTGTTAGAACAACATTCGAAGACTACCTTGGAATTATTTCAAGTGAACGAAATCAATAGTCTCCTCGCAATAAGCGTTTTAGTGATTGGGGTCTGAAACGGCCCAGTGTGCCAGCTATGTAATTCTGGCGAAGTGTGCCAGCTAAGGATTAAGTATTAAGTTTAAAAGCAAGACGCGAAATATCAGGCCGCTTACAATGCGCGTTTATTCAAGGTAAAACGTAACCAAGAATCATTCTGCACTCCGGATGATGAAATCTAGCCCTTTTTCGTAATTAAAGACGGAAAAGTAATTACGAAGTTCGTTGACTTCGTATTTTTGTCAAAACAACCCACGCCTGTATCTCCGCTTTCTAATTGATATTTTGTAAAATCCGTTATGAAATAAATTCGAGGAATTGTACCACGACATCGACATGAGCCATGTTATCAGTCTACCGCCTGGCGATTATTTATTTCCTGTTGCTTTATTGCGTATTACATTTTTTATTTTATTTCTCGTCAATTCCGTTGTTCAAAATTTTTCACCATTTACGATTCTAGATACCAATTTAGATAATGTCCCCAGACAAATCTAGCGAATATGTAGTTTGTTATATTTCTGATTGTGCATATTATTTGGTAGCGGAAAATCGCGATGCTATCTATCAGCTAGGGACTGTTCGTAATGCAGTGTACAAAAGAATTGACACGTTTAGTATGCATGTAGAACGCGTGTGTCGCGGTAAGCCGTCGTTGAAAGGAACCGGATACGATGCTCTCGAATTCTTATCTGCGCCCATTCATTCGGTCGTACAGAAGCACTTCTTTATTTATCATATTGATCGGGAACGTGGCACAAACGACTGCGTATGTATGTACACATGCTTTGTACAACCAGCAGCCGAGAGATAAAAATGTATGTTTTAATAGAATAGGATTAATGCTAGATCTTAATCTACCAAGAATTATTTTCACCGATAGCGCGGCTCCGTTGCGAGGAAGTAATCGTGCAACAATTTCTCAAAACCAATCACGAAGTTAATTCGGTACGTGTAATAGGAAAACCACGGTTAGTCACAAGTTACTCGTATCGGATGCAATTACCCGTTCCTTATCAAACCGCCAGTCGGTTTCTCTTGAAGGAAATCGAAAGGAAACTTTGAAATTAATCCGACGTCAATTTTTTACAATTTCTTAGCTAGATTAATTGACGATAATGAACCTGTAATTTCTTCGTCGTACATATACCAACTATCTTAGAATTAGTGCTGACTGATTGAATATTAATAATCCGCTGATATCGGGACACTGCGTTGCTCAACTGGTCGCGAGGATTAAATAAACGAGTAAAATCTATTTGCTCGATTAATTTTTTCCCTCGTTTTTGGTGGACGCGTTCGAAATTTCACGCGCAACCATGCGTTAACCGGGATCGTTTGATGCTTTTCAGAAGAGGAGAGACAAAGGGGGCTAAGTAGAAAAGAGAAGGAAAGGGCGGAGAGAAAGGAGCGACTTGAAAGAGAGATTGTACCGTGGAATAGGTCGAAAGGGGCATGATAAGCAAGGACACAGTTGTGCCACGAAAATCAGGTGACCTGGTAGACAAGAGTCAAGCGTTCGGTAAGCGAAGAACGGGGAGACATCGTTATATTCGACGTCGCGTTCCTCGGCAACGGATGTCGGAATGACGCGTCGATCAAGCCGCGGCTGGCCAGAGGGTGCAAGGACTTTGTTAAATCGGAGAAAGTGATACACGGTCGTGTTTGTGTTGGCGGCGGCAAACAAGAGGTGAAGGAGGAAGTGGAGGAGAGAAGGAATTGGCGATCATCAAATTCATTATTAGTAAGGTAAGAGATTTTTGTTCACGCACAAGCGTCAATTTTTGTAATATACAAATTAAAAAGTTCGAATTATTCTTTGCTATTGTATCAATTATTTATGTAGTAAATTATAGAAGTAAATTAAATTAGAAAACTAAAATATTGGACAATACTAAATTATAAATTTAGAGAATGACAATATTTACTCTGATTATTACATACGTATTCGTGTATGAAGTCTTGTGTAAAGGATATAAAGCTATAGCTTTTAATGAAAATCTGGCTTTAATCATAAATTACAAAGGCAACGTTCGAAATTCGTAAAAAGAGAGATTTACTGGCAAGCTAGATTGAATTTAACCATATAACATGAACGAATCATTCGGTATTTATCGATTGGTATTCAAAAATGTCTGATAGGCCACGTCACGTGCCGTCCAGCCAGCGCTCACAATAGACGGAGCATTGTTTTCATAAGCGATCGCGGGCTCATTGTCTCGTCACTCTCCAGCAGCAGCGGCGGATAACGTCCTCCCGCCGCTATCACGATGTCGTTATTATGAGACCCATTGCGCCGGTAGACTGACAACCTCTTTACACCTGACGGAAGACCATCGACGGCTTTATCTCCTTCATCAATCTCGGAATTGAAAAAAAAAATAGACGTGAACAAGAAGTTTCAGTAGACCAATCGGAGATAAAACGGAACAACCAAAGAATTTTATTCGAGGACGTGCAGCAAAGGAGGTCAAGGCTAATTGACCGAGATACAGTGATCTCGTTTGACCTGAAAAAGGAGAAGACCGGAGTACCCTGTATCTTGGAATTTCCTCGCGTTGACGTAATTCCGCGAGGACAGGTGACGAGACGTCTGTGTGGCTGTGCGTGGAGGAAGAGGCAGAGGGTCGAGTCGATAAGGGATAGAGAGGGGTGCGTGGTGAAACGCGACGAGAGGGTGAAGTGAAGGTGTTCTTGTGGGGTGCCAGAGTGAGCACGATAGCACCTCTGGTGCCCTCGGCCGTGGGTCCCGAGGGGACGGACGCCATGGCGGCCTCTTCGTCCTCGTCGAGCGGCGAGCAGCAATACTCACTCAGGTGGAACGACTTCCACTCGAGCATCCTCAGCTCATTTCGTCATCTGAGGGACGAAGAAGATTTCGTGGATGTGACCCTGGCATGCGACAGTAGCAGCTTCACCGCACACAAGGTCGTTCTCTCTGCGTGTAGCCCTTACTTCCGTAGGCTCCTCAAGGTCAGTGAATTTTTATTCATTCTCATACTTCCTTATAAAATTCTATTAGTCGTTTCGCCAAATTACGAATTGAATGTAATATGTGATCTACGATATCGAAGTTGTCAGGATTTTGGTTACCTAGACTGTTTC